TTGAACAGAAAGAAAAAGCCTGTCTCACATTTTCAGGAAGACTGTTTTCCTTTTCCAGCAGCGATTGCAAGCTAATCCCTGTCGTCTATAATTATAATTATATGGCTGTATTTGTATTGTTTGATCATACTAATCTAATTTTAAATGGATGTATTAGGTATGGATGCACTTCATGTCCACAAGTGACTTATTGCCTTTTATAGGAACACCACAATGTTCTTTTTACTTGCAGCACACTTTGTTTAGACAGTTTGAGAAGAGGAATTCCAGTCCTGTCGTTGTAGGTGAGTAACACGCTCTTTTTTAGGAAAGAGCATCATCATTTGGAGGCGTTCTGCATTCATCAGGAAGCACCTGCAGCAGCCGCCACCATTGTTTGACTTTATATATCGCATGAAAAGGGACATTCTCAACAGGAAGTCACATTACAAACACTCACATACCGTGGAAACCGAGACTTTTCTCAGTGATAGCAAAAATGTCACGAGTTTGAATATGTGTGTGATGTCTTCAAAGAAAACACACAGAATATTGTTGAAAAAGTGAAACTCTTGTAGTAAATTGTATGTTCTAATGCGTCTAAGCTTTTATCATATACTGTATTATTGTTCTATATGCAGCAAAAAGGGCAACACGGGTTCCATTCCACCTCCAGACAGGGCCTTTCTGTTTGCATGTTCTCCCTGTGTCTGCATAGGTTTCCTCCAGGTGCTCAAGTTTCCCCTGTCAGTAAAAGAACGTGTACAACAGTTCAGAGGCCTGTTGCAAGAATCTGTTTGAATAAATTCAGATGGAGTAACTTCAGAGTTAAAATCAAGGTTTAGGTTCATGGGTTGCAAATTGATTCCCTTAAACCTTTAGCGGTTTCCTCAACCATTCAGTAGATCACCTTTTGAGTAAATGTATCTTCTCGAAGCTTGGAACTGAAAAATACCTCTTTAGGGCATCTCACTTTTAGGCACTTTTACAATCAAACTACATCTCAACCATTTGGTAAAGGCTTATAATGAAAAAAATAGGGTAAAAAAATTATTTGGGTTATTAGTGCTTCTACGTCTTCAAATCCAAAATAAAATATGACAATGCTTCCAGGATTAAAACTGGGAAAAAAAAATCTTTGTCAACTCTGTGTCACACTGATGAAGCAGCTGCCACAGCACAGAGAAGGCAATGGTAAAGACGTTTAAATAATTTTGATGTTTAAGACCTAGAAAACAAAACTAAGAATTCATGTTTCACTGTCTTTGGTCAAAAAATAAAAATAAACAATAATGGACAGATGCCACCATTATAAAATTGCTTATTCAAAATATATTATGGTATGTACTGTATTTGAGCAGGGACAGTGCACAATTAAACATTAACACAAAGAAGAAATGTATTGTAACAGGTCTTATTTGTGTGTTGTATTTTGTAATGTCTGGTAAGCACTTTGTTTAAAATATATATAAATAAACTTGACCTTGACCTTAACAAATATGCTAATTTCCGCCTGTAGTCCCTGGGCAGTGTGATGTTTTTGTGATATTAAACTGAAAAATACTTATATTGTACATACAGTGCATTTTATTATGAATACTTCTTATATTTTGCCAATCCAAGGTTATAAGAATTGAGTGAATGGATCAATAAAACAAAACCTGAAATAAGTCAAAAGTGCTTATGGCTCAACAGCTCTTTTCCATTGAGTAAACAGTAAAGAGGCTTTCCACACTGCTCTGTGATCACGGGATTTCTTCAGACAAACAACTTGCTGGGCCACTTCCTAAATAAACTAGCTTCACTCAAGGGTGTGTAATATGCTCACACAATCCTGTTAAGATATGTATGAGCTGAGCCTGCAGGAGGAGGGGGCAGACGGGAGGGGAGAGAACCAGAAACAAATGCATCTTGTTTATGTCGCTGGTACCGGTCTTTGTTGTTATTTACAGAAGTGATGCTAACGAGTGCGTAATGACATTAGGGTTTGGTGAGTGCGGCTGGACGCTGGGGCTCCCTGCTCTGTGGTGATGTCAGGAGCCCGGATTAGACACAAGGACCATATGGCACTGGTAATCCTCAGCCTTCAACCAGGCGTTTCTCCCACATGACACCCACGAATTAATACAATATTCCACTTGGTTTTGATGTTGTTATATTATTATTATTATATTCAGATTGTTACTTTAATGTTATTTTTATTGTGAAGTTCTATGCAAGCTACTGTGACAACGCAATTTCTTATCACAATGCACTCATAATATCGCTCTTGTATGAATGAATTATAACACGATGCTAGAGTTAGAGATGTTATTTTATTTTTGAATTTATTAGAGTGTATTTCATTTTATTTTGGATTTTATTAGATTTTCTTTTCTTTGTATTTTATTTTATTTTAGCATAGAACTATTATTCATTTATCTTGTGCTGTGTGATCCTCGTTCCTACTCTCTGTAACGTTCTGTCTGTAACTAATTTTCCCCACTGTGGGACGAATAAAGGATCTCTTAATCTTAATCTAACACATGAACGATAATACCGCTATATATATGTTTCGATTATTAAAGCAGGGGTACATAACTTTAAAAAGATAATATTTTGTTTGTCCCAATAGATGAGAAAACTGTTTTGAAAGCAAGGACATTTAAATGGATTTCTTTACATAATATTTTTTTACATTAACATTTTTATTGTGTTTTGTTTTGACAGTTGAGTACCTCAGCCCTAAGTAAGCCCTGGGCCATGTTGAATTTTTGGTTTTCATTATCTGTATCTGTTCTAGTGCTTTTGACAGTCTTACTTTGTTTTTCTGTCTTTCCCATGCACTCACAACTTAAGGATTGCTGTATGTGTTTCATTGCCCCTCCTCGCTCAAAATGACAACAGGCACACTCATTAAACTTCCCGCTTTGAAAAACCATCATGTAAATGCTTATGCAATGTGTCATAGAATTCATGCCTAGAATTCTTGCAAATGATGAGACAAAGATTAAGGTAAATTTAAATAGGATTAAGGTTTAGACGGCTACATACTTGAACACCCACTCACAAGCAAAACCCAAACAGAGGATTGCCTGGTCGTCGTGTGACTGTATTTACACTTGTTAATAGCACTGGGTCATGAGTTTACGCCGCAAGGGATGTAATTAAAGAATTTGTAATGTACTCATTTTCCATCCACTCATTTTCTTCTCCTTCATCCGTTGCCGGGTCGTGAGGGCAGCAGACTAAGCAGAGACGGCCAGACTTCCTTATCAACACACACCGCCAACGGATCATCCTGGGGAATCCTGAGGTGTTCCCAGATCAGCTTAAAGTTGCCTTTCAACATGTCCTGGGTCGAACCCGAGGGCTAGAGAAGGCATCCGGGACAGATGCCCATGCCACAATTTTGAGCTTTCAATCATTACCCAGAGCTCATGACCGTAGGTGAGGGAGGGAACATAGATTGACCGGTACATCGAGAGCTTTGCCTTTACCCCACTCCCATCTTTGTGTGAGTGGGAGACAAATGCCCACAATTATAAAGTGCTTTGTGACTCTGGTTTGTGAAAGGCACTATACAAATAAAGATTACTTACTTACATACTTTCGACTCAGCGCCATCTTTAACTCACTGCGCACGCTGCATCGATCCGCCTATCAATCTCACGTTCCATCCTTCCCTCACTCGTAAACAAGACCCTGAGATACTTGAAGCCCTCCACTCGAGAAAGGACCTATCCATCCACCTTTAAAAAAAATGTTTAGTACAGGATGCAGGATACAGTGGTACAACATGAAAATTATCTGCAAAAAGGAGAGAAATCTATAAGATACAATTCATATATGTTGGAAATATAATGTGCACACTATGACTGATTAATTTCTGTGGGAACAGCTTGCAGACACGTAATACTGTTTTTGTTGTTGTTTTTATTATTTGATCCCTCTTCCCATCTTCCTGAAACACACATCAAGGTTATTTATATAAAAATTCACAAACAGACCAATAGCTAAACAACGGTGTAGAAGATACAAATATACATATAGATTGATCTTAAACGTAGATACATATTCACATATAGCAGCTACTCCCTAAAAATATTCAAGTTTAATTTGAAAGAGATTTGAAAGTGTCCATGTGCAAGGTTTTATTGACCCATGGATCCCAGTGGAGGACAGCCATATGGCAGACATCAGCTCCCACTTCCAGGAGTCAGCACAGTTCATTGGTGAGATTTACCTGCTTCACTGATAAAAATAGACAATCAAACAGCGGAGATAAAGATAGACGTATAGGGATTACCTCCATGAAATCCTGTGCATATTTTTAACCCAAAGAAAATCTAAAGAGCCAGTGAAATGTGATAATACAGCTTTGATAAAACATGCCGCAAGATCTTGTTTATTAGTCACTTCACGTCTTTTAGTTTGTGTATTCCAGTTTCTCACCTGGTCTCATTCTCATTTAGAAAGTGTCAATGAGCAAGGTGTATTGACCAGCAATCTCTGCCTCTTGTGATTGGACACTGCTGGTGTTGTTTTGCTGCTGTAAAAATGCACCATGAAAGTGAAAGTGGGTCATGTTTAATAACACAATATTCCTCGTTGCTGTCACATAAGCAATGAAAACATCTCATCTCGCTGCAGCGTGTGCCTCATACCCCTGTCACATGGAAAAGTCTCACCTGAAACTACAAGGTGTGGGCTGTCAGAACCCTGTGAGTAATAACAGAGCTATGATGCAGGCGTATAACACTTTTATCCTAGATGGGATTTACAGACCAGCCCTGGGGCGGAGTCACGGCCACAGTCACTGCATGTGGGCGGGGCTGTTACCGCGCTCACGCCTCGTCACTGTCCATATATGGGTCGTGACGTCAGGCCCGGAGGTTCCATTCATATAAAACTGATCAGCCGGAATCCCCTTGGAGGAAATGTAGGCAAAGACGCATACGGGGATCTGTGTCGCCCGTAAACTCTATCCAGGATTCAGTCACGTTTATTCTCAAGGCAATAACTTTCCAAAAAACGCAACAATGAAGGTGTCCAGCATTGACAGCCGCCGTCTGAAGAAAATGATCAGAAAGGAGTGTGGGAGCTGCCTTATTGTGGATTGTCGGCCGTATCTTTCATTCACAAACTCTAGCATTAAAGCCTCCGTCAATGTCAACCTCAACACGGTGGTGGTGCGGAGGTCCAGAGGAGGGCCAGTGCCTCTGCAGTTTGTCATCCCGGACGAAAAAGCCCTGATTCGGCTTCAGGAGGGGAGAATTTCGGCGATCGTAGCACTGGATGACCGGACGTCCCACTGGCAGAAATTGAAAAAGGACAGTGTAGCACAAATAGTAATAAACAGCCTTTTACACCTAGCCAATGGGACCAGCATCTGTTTTCTGAAAGGTAAGCCAATTCTTTATATTCTTCTTTAAAATTCAAATGGGGAAGCCTTCACATCTTGATTAATTATGATGACTCAATTAAGATGGATTGATTAATACAGTCTTACAGAATATGTTTTCCAAATTCGTCTCTGTTCTCAAGGATAGGGATTTGGATGTATTCGTTTGTCGTGTATGATGTAATTAGCCTTGTTGGCGCAATATTTTTTTGTTTTCCAACGTGATTGTTGTATAACTTGATTTGACCACACATATGTACATGTATAGCCTGTATGTATATTTATTAACATCTTCAGACACATGTTTAGGTAATGTGTATGGTGTTATATACGCGTGCGTCAGCGATGACTCAGAATAACATGAGCGAGGTTGACCCTAAAAACAATAGATGAAAAAATGGAGGCGAGTACACGACACTATATACAGTCACAAGTGAATGCCTCTGGGTCACTGCGATGTGTTGAACCCGTTTTAAGACCCACCCGTTTCCGCCCGTCACCTCTGGGGGCCTCAGAGGATTAGCGCTCCTTCCACCAAGAGGCGCAGTAATTAATTTCGCGCGTATAATCAGTTTATAAACGTAATAATCTGCTGTTTAAAACTGTTTCATAAACGCTGACATTTCACAAGCACAGGCTGTGACGGTGGGTGTCAGGAGCCAGGGGCTAAAACAGACTTCATGTGTGTTTCCTCTTTTTGTTTCAGGCGGATATGAGAACTTCCACTCTCAATACCCCGAACTTTGCACTGAGGTGAAAACCATAATCCAGAGCGGAAGTGAAGCTGAGAAAAAAGTCAGCTGTAACACCGAGATGCGTTCTCACCACAAACCAGATTATGATCAGGTATGGAAACACCCTCCCAGGACTCCATGGTCACCAAATGAAAAACGTAGAACCATTGACAGATGTATGGGGCCCAGGATTTTCTCAAGCATTTTTATGTGTAATGCCTCAACTCTCTATGGCTAAAAATATTTTGGCCACTCAATGTTAAACTGGACCCATGTAGAGAAATACACACTTAGATTATGACATTTTCTCTATTTGCTTGGTAAGAGTCACCCAAATATAACAGTTTGAAAGTTGAAATGGGCAGAAAGACAATGTGTTTGTATACTAACTAATGTATGTGGGTTGTGTTTTTATCATTCTTGTTTATTTATGTTGAAATCTCTTGTTTTTTAGGGCAAACCAGTGGAGATCCTGCCTTTCCTCTACCTCGGCAGTGCCTATCACGCTTCCAGACACGACTATCTCAGCGACCTTCACATCACAGCCTTGCTCAACGTGTCACGCAGAGACCTGCAGCCAGCAAAGGGCCGGTACAACTACAAGTGGATCCCAGTGGAGGACAGCCATATGGCAGACATCAGCTCCCACTTCCAGGAGGCAATACAGTTCATTGGTGAGATTTACCTCCTTTACTGATAAAATAGAAAATAATATTGCGGAGCTAAAAATAGACGCATAGGGATTACCTTCCATGAAAACCTGTGCATATTTTTAGCTCGATGAAAATCGTAAGGGCCAGTGAAATATGGTAATACAGCTTTGATAAAACATGCCGCGAGATCTTGTTTATTTGTCACTTCACGTCTATTAGTCTGTGTTAAATGTGTATTCCAGTTTCTCACCTGGTCTCATTCACAAATATGAGCCCAAACACAGATCCTTGTTAATCAGTTTAAGTTAATCAACCACCGTCTCAGCCTCTCATTCAGGATTTACTCCCTTCCTCCCTGACCTTCCACTCACCCTCCCCCATCGTAGCCTGAAAAAAGATGCACCCATGTCGTCATTGCTTCTCAGGCCTAATCTCTGAGGCTTACTCCCTTGGGTGTGGCTTGCAATGTGACAAGTGGGTGAGCACTAGGTATATTTAGCCATGGCCAGGGGGAGGAAGTTGCGGGTGTGATACTCAAATTGTTGTTTACTTTGTTTTGGCTTAAATGGCTTGGACTGAATGTGATCTGTCTGGAAAGCCTGCATTCCCTGCAGGTGGATTGCACTGATTGCTCCTAGAGGGCAGTGGGACAGTAAATATAGATGGCAGTGTGGGAGGGAGAAGTGGAGCTTAATAGATGTACACAATGTGCAGGTTATTTATAGTTACCACCACTGCAGTCGAGGACAAAGCCCGCTGCCAGAAAATAAAAATATGAATGACAATATGAATGGATGATATTGTGTATTCTGTGTGTGTCGGTCTGGGTGTGAGTCTGAGCATACAGCAGTGTTCCAGTTACTTATATATTTACAATTAGTGTTCAGATTCTGTGGACAAAAGCAAAGCCCATAAATATGAACACACTGACATTTTATAGACTGAATGTGAAATCAAATTATTCTTGGACAGAGAGCTGCTTCTCTTAACTCTGTAGCTGGGAACTTTTCTGAAATGTCTTCCTGCGCCCACATTAGAGCGTAGGTGGAAGTCTATCGCTCTTATTGTGTGACTCACGAAAAGAGATATTTGTTGAGCACCCGTTATAGAGCCAGTGCTAATTAAAACCTTATAAAAAATGAAGTAACAAAGTAAAGTAATAAATGTGATCTGTTTCTTTCAGATGAAGTGAAACAATCTGGAGGCAAGGTCCTGGTACATTGTGAAGCAGGCATCTCGCGCTCCCCAACCATCTGCATGGCCTACATCATGAAAAGCCAGCGCCTGCGACTCGACGTTGCCTTTGACCTCATCAAACAGCGCCGTGCGGTCATTTCGCCCAACTTCAGCTTTATGGGTCAACTGCTGCAGTACGAGTCCGAGGTTCTGTCCACGACTCCGGCTCACACAGTCACCCCAGAACCGGCCACTCCCTCCATTCCAGAGTCGGCCTCCTTTTTTGCCAATGACTTTAACCACAATTTCAGCACCAAAAACTATGAGCCATCTGTGTTTTCCTTCCCTACCTCTTGTCTGCACTCCCCGGTCCATCACCAGTTCAAACTGAGCCCGATAACTGCACTGCCTTAAGAAAAAAACTTTGACTATAATCTAGTCTTTACTTGAAAAAATATATGAGAAATAATACATTGTGTGCCTGGTGTTTGATGCAGCAGCACTGGAGATGAACAAAAATCAAAATGTGTACAATGTTGAAGGAGTTAAAAGACCTAGGAGTTTAATTCTGGGCTGCTGACAAAAACAATACAGCACAATTGATAGCCTGAACTGCAATATTTATGCCTTAGGTTGGTATTGTGATTTGCCTATAAATTTGGGCATTGAAATTATTTATTTTAAAGTACTGTCTGATTTTTATCAACATGGATGTAAACGTGTGTTCAATAAATGTTTCACATCAAAACTACCTTTTCTGTGTTTAATGAATAGATTATAGATACAAGCACCTTTAAAAAATGAGAATGGTCCAACAAATGTTGGCTGAAACTGATAGATGAAACCATGGCTAGACAACAACTGTAAAGGTGAATAGAAAATAAACAAAAATCTCGAGACAACTTAAAATGTTAACAACTGAGAACTATACGAATATGTATTTATAAAGTATCTATGGCTATAGATAGATCAATACAAGATTAGCAATAGGCGGTTGCAGACTCTTAAATGGTCACTTTTTATAGTTATTTTCCAACATTAAGGCCTCAAAGCATTTCACACCAGGGAACCCATTCATGCACATGGATAGGGATGATTCTCAGTCAATATGACTGCTCAACCACTGGCTCAGTGTACACACAAACGGCTATAATGCTATACTTTAATTATTTATTTTCACTATGACAATGTTTATGCATCATATGGAAAGGATGAAAAGGGGAATCAAGGGTTTGGACATTATTATTACTGCACTGTTGCATATCATTATTGCAGGTGAATGACACAGTACAGCAGTGTTCATTGTACAGTTAAAGGTATGTGAGGATTAGATAACTATTTGGCCTACGTGCAAGACAACTGCAAGACTATACAAGGACTCTGATGGTGCATCCATGTTTTGACTATGAAATGCTGTCTCTGTGTGACGTAACAATGACTATATAACATGTACGGACTCCATTTTGGTCTGAGAGAAAGAAACATCAGAAACCACTGGATCTTGATAGAAACTTAAATAAACTTCCAGAGTTTGGCGCACCGCGATCCGTCTCTGTCTGGTTCATTCCTGACAGGTATATCAAACAAATGTGTCACAACCTTGACCTTCATAGACCGAAACTGAAAAAGACCACTCTTCCATCAGCCAAAGCTCTCAGCCGAATGTTTGAAAAGAGATTCACATGGCCCTTTCTTACAAGAAGGCCAGATGTATACATAGTTCCCACAGACCAATGAATGTCACATGACCTCCTCGGAGACGCCATCTTTGATGGCACGCTGCTGTGTTTGTGCATTCCATTAAACAGAAGAATGAGAATAAATGTAGATATTCAAACGCAAATTGGAAAAAAAGGGCAACTTTTGAGCAAATAATTGTATATTAATACAATGGCACCACAGTTTAACGTGCTACGGACATGTTTTACATATTTGATCAAATTATGCAGCAAAAATTAACAAGCAATGCAAACATTTCTCAAAAACTTTAGATTTAATACCAGTTGGAGCTCCATTTAATTATTTTAATTATATTAACAATTAATTTAATTAATGCTAATGCCACACGGACACTCTGGATTGCTGTTATTGTTTATTTCCGCGTTTTTGACCGTATGTTTTGGTGAATGGTGGGCAACTGATTTTTCCAGGCGTAAAGAGCAGTTTATTTTATGACACAGATCTTTTTACAGAAGCAATGCTGTTTGTGAACATTGTTTTAGCCCACCATAGAACTATTATTATCTATTTAATACATTTACGTTGCCCTCGAGAGCCTCGGACGCGACACCGATCCTCCTCATAATAAAGTAATCTAAATAATGAAACTCTCAAGTTACCAGCTATCAGCATACACAAGTTAGTACTGAGTAAATTACGTCTGTCAACACATTATAAGATACGATACGCACCTGACACAAAGTGCTCCGAGCATATTCTTGCGTGTTTTGAGGGAGTTTCTTGCCTGTTTATCTTCGCAAGCCATAACCTCCGTGGTTGTTCTGACAAAAGCTTAGTCTTCTCACATTCATGAAGTCTAATGATGGGTATACTGTAAAATCCAAGTTTAACGGAACCTCCGGCACGATTTGAACATCCATTGACCCAGCAGGAGATGACCATTTTCAACTTTATCACGACATTAACACGTTTCAGCTTCTTTTTCTATTGTTTTGCCCACAGAATGCCAACACAAATGGCGCCGGGTCGGCAAATCCCCGTATGTAGTGACGTCATGTGGGAACTATGTATAGAGATATCTCACGTGACGTCACGATGCCTCAAAATCGCGGGGCATCCGCCATACTGGAGGACAAGCAAACGCTGTATGATAGTGGCGTGCACACGGGACCGCATAAACATGTTCAAAATGTTTGCCGTTTTTGGCTGCAGCAAAAGGAGAGACAGGGAAAATAAGTTGTGTTACCGACTGCCAGCCGTCCTTACTTCACACGGCTCAAAAACAGAAGACATCTCAAAGAAACGAGAGAGAAATGGCACAACCATACGCAACAACAAAAAACTAATAGCCACCAGAGCGCCCGAATATGCTCGGATCATTTCATTTCTGCTAAGTGAAATCAATTTGATGGCGGATTTAGTGTTATTCCGAAACAAACAGAAGTTTAAGGATAAAACATATCTGTCTGACTGCAACGTGGGGTTGCTCCATAGACTGTAGCTTAGCTTGTAGCATAGCTGTTATATATTTGGTCTCACACAGGACCTCACCCGGTTCACAGGGTATCTGACTTACCGAAGGCCAGCAGACATGTGAACGACTGAGCCGTGCTCCAGGGTGCCCCGTACTAGTATTTATTAATAAAATATACGGCTCCTCACAGTAGACGCAGAAAGCTCCATTGATTTGAATGTAATCTCATTATTTCCACTGCAGTGTAGCCACACATAGATCCATGGTGTAACAATAAACACATAAAATGTTAATCGGAGAATACATTATACATATACATTCTTAATACACGTGCACAGAGGTTTTCAGAATTTTCTGTTCACGTTTTCATGAAAAAACACTGTTTTAATGCGACAATATGCGACCGCGGTAAACCTGGATGTAACGATAAACATTAATAATACATTTTAGGATGCATTTTCAGGATCTGATTCATGAATTTAGGTTGAGTATATATTTAGGTCACTAACTGCTGAAGTTTTGAATTCTCTGTTCAGTTTTCATGTAGTTTGAGAGAGTTCTAGTTTTGAACGTCCAGTTATAGATAGCTAGCAGGGCTGTTACTCGCCGAGGTTGTCCTCCAGTATGGCTGCCGTGGCTGCTAGTCACGTGACCGTAGGATCCCTCTATTGAGAATGAGGAGTCACGTGATAATTTGGGCGGGGTCTAATCCGGTCGGCCATGTTGATAGGATCCTCTATCGGTTGCCAGGGGCAACGCCACTAACGCTCAATATATACAGTCTATGCTAACGCTCCAGAGGTCTTTAACTTGAGCGCGTTTATTATTTCGGCAGTAGATACATCTACGATTACAACACTAGCAAGACAGTTAATGGAGAAAGTGAAGGCGAAAGGAAATGGACCGTACAGGGAAAAGCAAAACAACATTATTTGGAGAAGCTCTCAGACATACAACAGGTAGACCCATACGAGCTTCCTGCAGCGGAGTGGCAAAAATACCTTGACTTTTTGCCTCCGTGCACGTACATGGATATAGTCAATTACCTTGTTTTCGGTGTTAGTTATTATACAATGCAGGAGTTTAGAAGTCACAAGTCACTGGAGAGTTACGAGGCTTTCTGCTGTGGTTGGGTGCAGTGGACAGACCCTTCGCTGACACACCATGGTTTTGCCATTCTTGTGCTGAATAGTGTGTTTTTTTTTTTGTATGTCTTTTTGTTCTTTTGCACTAATTTTTCTTGTGCCAAATAGTGGTTTTTTTTTTGTTGGTATGTTTGGTTCTTTTGCACTAACAGCAGTAAAAATATTTTATTATGTTGTCCATCTTTTCATGCTGAAATATTTATACGTTGACAGCACACGTTCTTTTCTTAAGCCGAATAGTGCCACTATTCAGCTTAAGAAAAGAACGTGTGCATTCAAAGTACAAATATTTCCAGCATGTAAACATAAACAACATAATAATGAAATACTATAATTAGTGCAAAAGAACAAAAAACATCCCAATTTTTTTATTGTTTGGATGTTGTTTGTTCTTTTGCACTAATAACAGTATTATTATTACTTATGTTGTTTATGTTTACATGCTGGAAATATTTATACTTTTAATGCACACGTTCTTTTGCACTGTTAACTTTTCCAAGAGATTACACCCCCCCTCCAAAAAAATGTTAATTTCTCACTCAATATTGCTTTGCCACATGTAGTTGTTTCAAACATTTATTTCAAAGAAATTAAAAAGGCATGGCAAGTTTATTTGTACAGCACAATTCATGTTACAAAACAATTCAAAGTACTTTAAATAAAAAATTAAAAAGCATTACAGCTGGGTGCAGAAGAAGCATTAAAAAGTAACAGAATAAAAAGCATAATTTAAAATTAAAAACAAAAATTCATAAGAAAAAGATAACAGACAAGTAATTCCAGCTTAAAAGAAGCCGTGCAGATTTGTACATTAGAATAAAAAATATTCAAAAGCAGGTGAGAACAGGTGGGTCTTTAACCTGGATGTAAACAAACTGAGTGTTTCAGCTGATCTGAGGCTTTCTGGGAGTTTGTTGTTGTTATGAACAAGGCACTCAAACAACACTTTTGCACATGTTCGTTAAGGCACAGCAAACAGTGACAATCTTATCTAAAGGCATTAGGTTTTCACCCTCGCATTTGAGAATCATATGCACAGGTACAGTTGAGTGTAAGAATTTGAATTTGTTGCGCACAACACCAATCACCCTCTCAACGTGAATTCTGAGATGTGCAATGGCCCTAGTCTCCTCCACATCTTCCCTGCTTGGCCAGTGCACTAATGGACACAGCTGTGTGTACATCACACCAAGGGTATGGTGAAAGGCATCAGCGACTGTTGTCCGATGAACTCTAAACAGATGGCTGAGGTGCTGGATTGGAAGGTCTAATCTGAGGCGCATTAGAGTCAATAGGACAAGCTGGAAGGGTGAGAGCTTCCTCATCCTTCCTTGAGGCAGATATGGAGTGAGGGTGAGTAAAAGTGTCTGGAACAAAGCAAAGTTTGGAAGCCCCGTGTAGTACTTTACTGTATTGTCATGACGACTCAGAAAGTTTTCATTCATCCGGTACTCATCAAGCTCCCGCTTCAGCTCTCTGTTTTCTTCTAGAAGATTGTTGATAACATCTTGTCTAGATGAGCAGAGTCCACATTCCATGTCCTGGGCTGGCGATGGGGGCTGCTGGGCTGGCGATGGGGGCTGCTGGGCTGGCGATGGGGGCTGCTGGGCCGGCGATGGGGGCTGCTGGGCTGGCGATGGGGGCTGCTGGGCTGGCGATGGAGGCTGCTGGGCTGGCGATGGAGGCTGCTGGGCTTGGGCTGGCGATGGGGGCTGCTGGGCTGGCGATGGGGGCTGCTGGGCTTGGGCTGGCGATGGGGGCTGCTGGGCTGGCGATGGGGGCTGCTGGGCTTGGGCTGGCGATGGGGGCTGCTGGGCTGGCGATGGAGGCTGCTGGGCTTGGGCTGGCGATGGGGGCTGCTGGGCTGGCGATGGGGGGCTGCTGGGCTGGCGATGGGGGCTGCTGGGCTTGGGCTGGCGATGGGGGCTGCTGGGCTGGCGATGGGGGCTGCTGGGCTTGGGCTGGCGATGGGGGCTGTTGGGCTTGGGCTGGCGATGGGGGCTGCTGGGCTGGCGATGGGGGCTGCTGGGCTTGGGCTGGCGATGGGGGCTGCTGGGCTGGCGATGGGGGCTGCTGGCGATGGGGGCTGCTGGGCTGGCGATGGGGGCTGCTGGGCTGGCGATGGGGGCTGCTGGGCTGGCGATGGGGGCTGCTGGGCTGGCGATGGAGGCTGCTGGGCTTGGGCTGGCGATGGGGGCTGCTGGGCTGGCGATGGGGGCTGCTGGGCTGGCGATGGGGGCTGCTGGGCTGGCGATGGGGGCTGCTGGGCTGGCGATGGGGGCTGCTGGGCTGGCGATGGGGGCTGCTGGGCTGGCGATGGGGGCTGCTGGGCTGGCGATGGAGGCTGCTGGGCTGGCGATGGAGGCTGCTGGGCTTGGGCTGGCGATGGAGGCTGCTGGGCTTGGGCTGGCGATGGAGGCTGCTGGGCTTGGGCTGGCGATGGAGGCTGCTGGGCTTGGGCTGGCGATGGAGGCTGCTGGGCTTGGGCTGGCGATGGAGGCTGCTGGGCTTGGGCTGGGAGTGATGACTGCTCCAGATGCTGGGTACTGCGCTTTACTTGCCGCTGATATCGCGCTCCATCTGTTTCTTTAACATTATTGTGGCCTAACCGCAAGGATGGTGTCCAGTCAGGGTGATTCTCCAACATCTCATATGATGGTTTACCTAGAACAGAATAATCTATGTAGTCAATGCTTTAAACTGGCAACAAGGTAGCAAAAAAAAAAAAAACAATTGTAAACCGCTTTGTGACTCTGGTCTGTGAAAGGCGGTATATAAATAAAGCTTACTTACTTACTTACTTACTATAACGTCATGAACAGAATCTCAACTATTTTTAGCAATATTATATAATGGTTTACTTACATCAGATTAATAAGATTATTAAACAATCTGGAATCTAAAGAAATATTAAACAAGAAGGTAACGCTATTCATGGTTTCATAAAAGGGCTCAGGGGGTAGTGGAAACACAAGACAAAAAAAAAGTTTGGGCACCACTGGTTTAGAGAACATAAGAGACAGAGACAAACGCACTTTGAGTGCCCATATTCCACCAACAAGGTAGGATAATGAGCAGAAACTTAAATATTCTTAGTTAACATTAATGGTTGGCCATTAAGCATTTTCATAGAGGCAACAGTTTGTTAGATAGTTAGCTAGGCAGCTAACTTAAGATGCACTTCAGTGTTTGCAACATTAACAGCTAGGTAACCTACACTTCTTAACTTTAAAAAAAACAACATGAAGACATTTTAGGACGTACCCGAGTGAAAATGCAGAGAACACACTCTCATCGACTGGGGGTGAGATCGAAAGTAAGGTCCTTTCTTCTTATTGCAGCCAACCAAGCCATCCGGCGTCTCTTCGTCAGGTCAGACACCTGCGCTCCCTGATGTTGTATCCATTTTGGTGGCCTAAAAAATTGTAAACCGTTGTTCCTACGTTTTCCTTTCTTATTGTGTGAGGTACTGGAGCAGTTTTTCACACAGCAATGAGCTCCAGGCATGGTAAAACAGAAATAGCGACGACCTCCTTTGCTACCGAGTTAACAACAACAAGTGTTTGCCGCTGGGATCCTACCAACATGGCGGAGACGGGGAGGGGCTCTGTGCTATGACGTCAGCTCCTCACTCTGGATGATTTGTTCTCAAAATGTTACTTTTCCTACTTTTTTCTATTGGGAAAATACAAATATATTATACGAAGAAAAGAAATGGCATTAACTGGAGATTATAGTTGAATAGATGACTTCCATTACCATTAGCCTCAGTACTAGCTCCCTGACTGACGTGCAGCATGGCTTGGCTAGAGTCTCTTTGGCGCCGAGAGAACGCGTTTCTCGACTGTACCAATCCATTGACTGGGGGTGGAGACTAAATTAAAATAGCCACATTAATCTAATTCGACTGTTCTAGCGATTACATAATACATTTTAAAGAATCCTTATATCTTTCATTCCCATCAACAGGTCGACATCCAACTATAATATCGATTTTAACACAATTAACCTCTTATAGAATAATGGTACGGTCTATTCTACCCGCCCCCGTCGCCATTTTCCGTGTTATTCTCTGACGCTTGATTGTGTTTCTCGACTAAATTTAATGCATAATATTCAACCAACTCTCAGATTTGGTGTATTTTACCGGCGACTCCAGCTCTGCGGAGAGAGGAGTTGATTCCCTGCTTTCCCTGCGAAGTGTGGGGCGACTCTGAGCACCATGTACATCAAACAGGTACCAGTCTTGCACAGCGCGGTTCTCAATGGCCTAATAACACTATTACAACTGTGTCCTCACCACTGCATTCCTATGTATTGTGTGCTATGTTTATGGGCGTATAATATGCATGTAATGGTCTGCGTGTACTGCATCTGACCAGTTATTATTGTGCTCTGCCCGCCCCCTTCACCGGAGCTAATGCTAAAGCTAATGCTAACCACTCAAATGGCAGCATTCTTAACATGATGGGTTTTAATCATGGATCTTATTATTAGCTATTGTTTCATATTCTGTCATTGTGCCTCTTCACACTGCAGCAGAATGAGGACATGATTGTAATTGTATTCACCTTCATCATTTATAGCTGTTGTCCAGAACTAAAAGATACAAAACATTGTAAGAAAGTCCATTGACACCTGAATACTACTTGAGGTACCCACGGGAACTGAAATATGAAAAATAATTAAACTACTTGAATATACCATGGATCTATAATGCTATCTTTCGTACTTAGTGTGCTCATTTCCACCATGCTATATATATTTCATGCGTGTACTTGATCCATTGTTGTTTATACATTGTGTAAACGTGCATATTAGTGCTTTCAATGTTTACATTCTTATGTTGGTCATTACTGTACTTATCTAGGTCATTATTCAAGGATTTCGAAGTTACAGGGACCAAACTGTGGTTGATCCTTTCAGTCCAAAGCATAATGTTATTGGTAAGTACTTGACACTCACCTTGTTTTGTATTTTCATGATTATGGAGCTCAATGCACCAATCTTGTTTTTACAGTTGGAAGAAATGGGTCTGGCAAAAGTAACTTCTTTTATGGTATGATATTGTTTATGTAAAAATATGTATGTTTGAACTGTGTTGATCAGTCTCATTTGAAAATACACTGGTCCTTTTTCTTCAGCCATCCAGTTTGTGCTTAGTGATGAGTTCAGTCATCTTCGGCCTGAGCAGCGCCTGGCCTTGCTCCATGTGAGTTGTGACGATGTCTTATCACAATATGAACCACAATAATTATTCAATCTTTGTTGAAACATTTGTATTTCTATTCTATTATTACATTAGGAAGGAACAGGTCCCAGAGTCATTTCTGCCTTTGTGGAGATCATATTTGACAACTCGGACAATCGACTCCCGGTAAGGGGAATTTACAAATGTTTTTTTGACTTATGATAATCTACATTTGTTCTTCAGAAGGGATGTATGTTGTACTGTTTAATGGTCTATGTGGGGACTTGTGTTTAGTGTCAAATTCAGAAGATGAAGTGCAGCAATACATCTACAGAAACACTGTTTTTTAATTATTTTACGGTCACAACAAGGAGTTCATTGAGCTTAATGCTGTTGCTGCAGCTCCATTGCTGCGGCCTCATCTTTTACACGTCTCCACATGTTTCTGCTTCACTTTCCTGGGCTTTAGATTGTAACAAAGTAGTGACAATATCAGCCTATATAGTAGGGTTGTCAAAAGTACCAAAAGCTAGATTACTCAATACTAAAACTAGCATTGATTCTAAATACTCATTTGAGAACAGGGCTTGGTATCATTCAGAAAGGCCTATCTCTAGTTCAGGGGTCTCCCAACCTTTTTCAATAGGAGAGATACTTTCGTACAACAGAAGAGGCAGAGAGCTACTCATTTTTGTGGTCATACTACACAAAACATGATAAACCATGTAAAAAATACCATAATACTCTACAGCCCAATATTTATATTTATAATAGATGTGTAATGACTCAATAGAGTGAATTACTCAAGTTCATGTGTTAAAATCTAAATCCTTTGGGAGCTATCTCAAAAGGGGTGGCGAGCTACTGGTAGCCCCCGAGCTACAGGTTGGAGACCCCTGCTCTAGTTACTTTCAATTAGTTAGTTATGTTATAAAAACTCTATTGACCCCTTTGCATTTCTTTATTGAAGATGAATTGTTATCACTGTCAAAATAGAAAAAATATGGATACTGAATAGAAAAGAACAATATAGATTCTATTTTAAAATATGAAGATTTATGTAGAAGAACCAGATTCAAACCAGATTTGAACCCACGACCTTCTGGTGGGAATTGAACCCACCAGAAGGTCGTGGGTTCAATTCCCACCTCTGCACCTTCTCCACCGACTCCCACTGATGACTGCTGTCGTTGTGTCCTTGGGCAAGACACTTAACCCCACTTTGCCCAAAGCCCCCACTGAAAGATCAAGGCTATGCTCACACTCAGAGAGCAGCCGTCCTCCTGTGGACTCACCACCTGCAGAGGATCAGTGAGGGGCTGGTGCTATGAGACTTGGGTGGCATCTCTGACTGCCACCCCCCATCCAGAAATGGATTAAAGGGTAGAGGATGGATGGATGGATGGAAGATTTATGTAAACATCTTGGGTTAATACTGTAAAAATCATATTAACAGGTAATTTAACAACAAAAGTAATCTAAAAAACAAATATACAAATCAACCGTTTATAAACAAATGTTCTATCAGTTAGGTTTTATTAATTTTTATTTATAATCTACAATATCATAATAATCCCATTTTTTTTTACCCGCTGCTGGGATGTGGAGGCAGCAGTCCCTATTTACCCATTTAATTAAATTTGAAATTATGGAAATGATAGAAAAATGAAAAGCTGCACCAGTGCAATCATCCTGAATGTTACTCTGGAGCGCCACATCAGTCTTTGTTGAATCCTTATAAAGCACAGTGTAGTTTTATATTTTCCTCTTTTTTGTAACTTGTAATAATGTTCTTTCAGATTGATAAAGAAGAGGTCTCACTGCGCCGTGTCATCGGGGCAAAGAAGGACCAGTATTTCTTAGACAAAAAGATGGTGACGTAAGCATTGCCTTTTTTGTGTTGTGGTAAATTGGCATCATTTTGTTTGTAAGTGTGAGTGACGTCTGTGATTTTTGCAGTAAAAACGATGTCATGAACCTCCTGGAAAGTGCTGGGTTCTCTCGCAGTAACCCCTACTACATTGTCAAGCAGGGGAAGGTGAGTCAGGAGCTGCATGAGTGTTAAAATGATGAAGTACATTCTACCTCATTTTAATGCTGTATATTTATACAGATCAACCAAATGGCAACAGCCCCTGATTCCCAGCGACTGAAGCTGTTGAGAGAAGTGGCCGGAACTCGGGTTTACGATGAGCGTAAAGAAGAGAGTATTTCCCTCATGAAGGAGACTGGTAAGAATGATGGCAACCCCTCTCCCATGTGTGGAGTGAGAGACAGATGCCTACAACAATTGTAAAGCGCTTTGTGACTGTCTGTGAAAGGCACTATACAAATATATATAAGTTAATTACTAATATCTCCAGACAGTCTTCTCTGAAAAAAAGTTATTTTAAGCACAAAAATGATCAATATTTAAGGAATGTACAAGAGTTTTCAAACAAAGCAAAAGCCGCTATTTCAGAGAGCAGGTATCGACTACTTTACAAACTTCACCTCCAAGACAATTGAAGGATGCTCCTTTTTAATTGCGAATGTATTTTTTTACAGAGGGAAAGCGTGAAAAGATCAACGAGCTGCTGAAGTACATTGAGGAGCGTCTACACACTCTGGAGGATGAGAAGGAGGAGCTCGCTCAGTACCAGAAGTGGGACAAGATGAGGAGAGCTCTAGAGTACACCATCTACAACCAGGAGCTCAACGATACTCGAGCCAAACTGGACGAGGTATGTGCCCTGTTTGTTTGCAAGCTTCCAATTACTGAAGACTGATGCACTTTAAATCTCTTTATTTCAGCTCTCGAGCAAACGAGAGACATGTGGAGACAAGTCCAGGCAGCTCCGTGATGCTCAGCAAGACGCCAGAGATAAAGTGGAGGTAAGAAACTTAATGAGATTACAACCTTCAAGAGGAACCCCTGCACTTTTCACTGGGGTCGTTCGTTTAATTAATTGGTTGATGGCATCCTACAACAAAAGTATGTATTAGTGGACCATTTCTTAGAATATATTTTTAAAGCAGAAGAAATATTTTTAATTCACATTTTTAATAATAGCAACCTTGTTTTCTTCTTGCTTTAGTTTGGTTCTGTTCATGAGAGTCAGACACATAGCTAATTGTTTTTGAGAGTGCATGTCACACCCTCAAATAATCATTAGACCAAGCATTTATTTTAATTATTATTTGCCCAATAATTATTATTATTATTATTATTATTAAATAATTATTATTTGCCCGATAAGATCCTGAATGGTCAGTGAATTATGGGATTTTTATACATTTGACCAAAACAAAGCTCAACATCTTCATAGCAATTGTTTGTAAACTTTATTCCATTCTGCAATCATTGTAGAATTATCTGATTTATAAAACCTCTTCTAATTATGTTCAAGTCTCTGTAACTATGGAAGGTTCACAAAGTGTTGACAGCTTTTTCAATTGGTTGTGATTAATTGATACATTTCTTTGGTTGCCAGCCCAACATTCCCTTCACAGAACAGAACTATAGGCTGTTGTCTTGTTGATTATTGTACATTTCTCTTGAGCCTAATCCATTTAATATGTATCTGATTTGTGAATATTTGTAGGAAACGGAGCGTGTTGTGCGAGAGTTGAAGTCCAAGATTTCAGCCATGAAGGAGGAGAAGGAGCAGCTCTCCGCCGAGCGCCAGGAGCAGATCAAACAGAGGACCAAACTGGAGCTGAAGGCCAAGGACCTGCAGGACGAGCTGGCCGGGAACAGCGAACAGAGGGTATGGAGGCCTCTATGTGGCTCACCACACTGTGCACAGCTACAGCAGCCCTCAACAGCCTCCAATATTATTATTATTATTATTATTATTAGCTATTATTTCATATTCTGTCATTGTGCTCTTCACACTGCAGCATAGGAGTGTGATGATATATTGATTTTTCTATATATCGCAATACTTTCTCCCGCGATCGATTATCGATATGCATTTGCCAAGTATCGATAAAAAAAACAAAAACATTTTTCTATTTTATGTATGCCATATATTGGCATATGGTATATTGCTGACCAATATCAATAATCGTTATCGTGAGCTTTGTATCGCGTATCGTATCGTATCGTGAGGCACCCTTAGGTTCCCACCCCTACTGCAGCAGAATGAGGACATGATTGTAATTGTATTCACCATCATTTATAGCTGTCGTCCAGAACTAAAAGATACTAAAAATCGTAAGAAAGTCCACTGACACCTGAATACTACTTGACACACTCAAGGTACCCATGGGAAGTAAAATATAAAAAATAATTAAACTACTTGAATATACACAAATTTCTGATGAGGTCATTGTATAGTAACATTTTATAAGAAACTTGTTACTTTCAAAAGATGCATTGTGAGTGGAGTTAAGGGGGAAGAAGCTTTTTTTGTTTGTTTTTTGAGCATTTTTAACTCGTGTTGAGCTCATTTGCATATTCCAAAGGTTCAAAGAAACTTACAAATATTTGTAGTAAAAATATTTCTGCTTTTTTTATGATTAGAGTAGAGGAAAACAAATAAGCCTATTTATTGTCATCGTCTGGTCATATTGGCACACATTTTAAGAAATCTTAATTGAGAAAATAGTTAAAAAAAATACTTTTTAGATGTTGTTCAGGATACCTCATAGGAAACAGTAGTATTAAAAAAACTCCAGGATTCTATTTATGGGCCCAAAACCAGGTACCGGTAGTTTGTCTGGACTATAAAGCCTGTGATTGATCCAAGCAATTTAAAGTGTATATTTTGCTTAACTTATTTTATTATTTTTATCTCAACTGGGTTTAAGCACAACGCCCTGTGTATGTAAGGTTGGCTTCTCTCTGTGGCCTGTGTTTCCCTGTGTACAAACGCACTTCTGGTTCTGGCTCAGTTCCTGGTGTTAGTTCTAGGCAGCGTGCCGACTTGTTGGATGAAGCCCACCTGGCTAAAATTGGCACATTATCATCCAAAAGTAATTTGGAGCAAACTGAAACACGAGGGATGCAAATTGCAGAACTGGTTGGCAACGGCTAATTCTTTTTCATCTATCTTTAGAACCAAAAAGAATGTTGTCGCATGAATAATGAAATGTTTACAAACTGTGATGTTTTTGCACCTTCCAGAAACGCCTGTTAAAAGAACGACAGAAGCTTCTTGAAAAAATTGAGGAAAAGCAAAAGGAGCTGCAGGAGACGGAGCCTAAATTTAACATGGTGAAAGAGAAGGAGGAGCGTGGCATCTCCAGGTGAGATTTTTAGTCAGCCCCAACAGCTGGTCATCAGGAAGCACATGGATTGTGGTTTTTATTAGGCCAATTAACATATTTCCATATTTATATTAATGTATCAATTCCATTCTATTTATTCTTGTATAGCGCTAAATCACAACAGTAGTTATCTTGGAGCACGTTACAAACCCGTTGAATTCGCCAACACAGATCAGAGAGTCAAACCGTTCAAACACAAGAAATGCAATGTTAAAAAAAATACATAGAGCCTTTGGTCCATAAGAGGCAGATGACCAATGTCCATATATGTCCATACATTTTGTTGAATGTCGAGTGTCCTGGATCATCACCACTAGCCTTTGACGACAATTTTTCTTTTCAGACTGGCTCAAGCGACACAGGAGAGGACAGACTTGTATGCCAAGCAGGGACGAGGAAGTCAATTCACCTCTAAGGAGGAGAGAGACAAGTGGATCAAAAAGGAGTTGAAATCTCTCGATCAGGCCATCAACGACAAAAAGAGGCAAATCGCAGCCATAAACAAAGACTTGGAGGACACGGAGACAAATAAAGAGAAAAACCTGGAGCAGTACACCGTAAGGACAATGTTTTATTTGCACTATGGTGTGTTATCAGAGACATGCAACATTTTGTACTCCCCTAGAAATTGGACCAAGATCTAAATGAGGTCAAGACCCGTGTGGAGGAGTTGGACAAAAAGTACTACGAAGTGAAAAACAAAAAAGATGAACTTCAAAGTGAACGAAAGTAAGGCATAATTTAGAACAGGGCACTGTGTATGGTCAGATGAGGATTTTATTTTAATATATTATTTTCTATGGCGACAGTTATCTGTGGCGTGAGGAGAACGCCGAACAGCAGGCTTTAACTGCTAAACGTGAAGACCTGGAGAAGAAACAGCAGCTTCTTCGGGCCGCCACCGGAAAGGTACGTTTGAGTGATTCAAGCAAACTGATTGGATGATGCTAATGAACAACAAGCTTTTCGTCACACATTACAAGATACATTTATTCAGCAAGATGAAGGCAGGGAAACTGACATGTAATCACAAACACCGCTGGACCGAGAACTGAGAAAATCTTGTTGTGACTCAACCGATCATTCCATATCCAGTCTCCAGCGTTGTTATGATCCACAGCTCAATTTATCAATGACTCATTCGTCCAATCTATGTCAAAATAATATTTATTCTTCACAAAGTGATCCTTCATGCAATCAATGCCATGCCTTAGTTAGTTAAGTAGGCGCATTTCGATAGCTGAAGTCATGAATCATGGCTTTTAGTTTACAACGTATTTCTCTGTTACTCCTTAGGCTGATTGTAATTTAAAAATATCACAAAGGTCCACTTTTTTAACATACTTTAACTATGGTCTAAAAGTGGTCACAATTTTATAAAAACATGTATATGATGTTGGCCAGTAGAAAGGACTTTCAGCCATAAGAATGTTAAGGCAGGTGAATCGAATGATAAAGATCCTCAACAGGAAGTCCGACATAAAATGGGTATTCAAACAGGTTCTCAAACGGGTTCTCTCATCCTATCATCATTTGAAGACCCATGTTAAACCTGACTTCCTGTTGAGGATCTTAAGTCACAACATTGTTCTTTCAGGCTATTCTTAACGGCATTGACAGCATCAACAAAGTCCTGGAGCATTTCCGCCGTAAAGGCATCAATCCGCATGTGATCAGTGGTTACCATGGCATCGTCATGAACAACTTTGAATGTGAGCCGGCTTTCTACACCTGCGTTGAGGTGACCGCTGGAACCAGGTGCTCTTTTAGTATTCCCCTTTGAGTTTGTTTTCACACAGCCGAAACCGCCAAACTCACACTGCTCGGTGTTTGCAGGCTCTTCTATCACATTGTTGAAACCGATGAAGTTAGCACCAAAATACTGATGGAGTTCAACAAAATGAACCTCCCTGGAGAGGTCACTTTCCTGCCTCTGAGCAAGTTGGATGTTCGTGACACCGCTTACCCAGAGACAAATGTGAGGACTGCACTGATATTCAAACGTCTTTTCCATGTACAATATATTAATTCTGTGCCCTTCTTCATTTTAAGGATGCCATTCCCATGATCAGCAAATTGCGTTACAGCCAAAACTTTGACAAGGCTTTTAAGCATGTTTTTGGGAAAACACTCATTTGTCGAAGTATGGAGGTTTCCACTCAGTTGGCCAGAGCTTTTACCATGGATTGCATCACACTGGAGGGTACGTCAAAATGTTTATATTGTTTATTTTTATTTTTTCTTTGTGCTGTCAGTTTAACACGCAAACCCATTTTTACGCTGTAATTTTTTTTATCACATGTTTAATGCAAGCACAATATTGCAACTGCTCTTGCTGTCCCTGTAAAGTCTAGAAGAAGTCTAGAGGACCGTGCAGGCCAGAGGACTGATGTACAGAATCAACAGTCAGATGGTCTCTTCCTGGGTTAATGGAGATACTCACTCCAGGCAGTCTGGTGCATGTGAAACGGAGCAATGCACAATGAAGGCAGACGCATTTATAAAAGCTTTTTGCATATTTGGTCAATTTGGTCTGATGAGCGCCTGGCCGGTTAGGCTCTGTACTTTCAAGCCGGTTTCATTCTCCGCGGCATTAACATCACGTAAAATCTTGGTTTGATAAAGTGTGGGCACCCCTGTTCTATACACTAAAAATCTACTTGCACAATACACAAACTAGCACGCACACACTCCAGCCCACCAGACCCAGTAGTACAGACACACATACAAGCCCATCAGCACATGGGGCAAGACAGACTGAAGCAGAGTTCCAGCATGAATAATTACCTGGTGTTTTGTAAAATGTGTCAACAAATGCCTTCTCTCCAGGTGATCAGGTGAGCCACAGAGGAGCTTTGACGGGAGGTTATTACGACACACGAAAGTCTCGCCTTGAGCTGCAGAAGGACATGAGAAAAGCTGAAGAGGAACTTGGTGAACTCGAAGCAAAACTCAACGAGAATCTACGTAGAAACATTGAACATATCCTTTCACAGTCAGAGGCTGGAACAGATTTTATAACCATCCGGCCAGACTTCCCGGGCCATGCATATATATCTTTGTATTTGTTTTGTTTTGTGATAAAGCCGAAAATAACAAACTGATGACAAGAATTGTCCTTCACTTGAGCTGTGAGTCACCGCCGGTAGACTCTTGGTTCACTCTCCACCTCTTCACCTCATCTTCTTTGTCCACTCTCCGTGTTAGTTTTGATTGAAAAGAAGACGGGTTTTAATTTGTAACTGTTGCACTACTGATCATTAGGTTTGATGAAGGTCTGTAAAGCGACAGTGTGTGGGAGTCCTTCTATCACCAAGTGCAGACTCTCCTACGCAGTCCTCATCCTCAATCTATTGGTATTGAGAATCAAAGTACGCTTCCTGTACATAACATAGCTGCATAGGACAAGTAAATATTCTCCTTGACCTTTGCCTTCACGTATCAACAATGAGATTGATCAACTAATGAACCAGATGCAGCAGATAGAGACTCAGCAGAGGAAGTTCAAAGCATCTAGAGACAGCATCCTGTCCGAGATGAAGATGCTGAAGGAGAAGCGGCAGCAGTCGGAGAAAACCTTCATGCCCAAGGTACAACCATCTGTGCTCTGTCAAACGTCAAAGGCTCCGTTTACTGACTAAGGCTTTTCTTTAGCAACGCAGTCTTCAAAGTCTGGAGGCCAGTCTTCATGCGATGGAGTCCACCAGAGAGTCCCTGAAGGCTGAACTGGGTACTGACCTTTTGTCTCAGCTCAGTCTGGAGGATCAGAGGCGCGTAGACGCTCTTAATGATGAGATCCGCCAGCTCCAGCAGGTCAGTTTGGGAAGGTCAATTTCTCTTACAAATGTTGCTTTACATATGACAAAAAATGGTGATCTGATTTCACATGAATTGAATATACAGTACGTAGTATCGTAGTATTTGGTCGGTGTGTGCTTAGTGCTGCAGCCAAAGTGTGTGGGATGTGTTTGTGGTCCAGCATGGCGGCCACACTGTCAGCTGTTCTCACCATGTGCAACCGCCCAACCTCAGTTATGGTTTACAGACATACCAACACTTGTGTGTGTTTAAAAATACTATACCTAATTATCTCTCACCATCAAAGTATTGATAAAGCCGAGGAGGAACATGTGCCTTTCCATGCATAGAAAGGTTATTGTATAGTATATATATTGTAAAAGCAAGTTAGCTGCAGCTAATCATTTGTAAATGAATGAATACCAGTAATGCGCCCCAAAATAAGCATGAGGTTTGGGTTGAAAGTAATGTAGTTTGGTTTTTTGAGACAGTTTTTCAGCTTTCATACCTTTTCCACCACAGGACAACAGACAATTGCTGAATGAGAGAATCAAACTGGAGGGAATCATGACCAGAGTGGAGACTTATCTCAATGAAAATCTACGCAAGCGTCTTGACCAAGTAGAACAGGTACGGTATTATTTTATCTAATCAAATACAACGTTTACAATCTTTGAGGAGGTAGTAATAATTTGTTGTCAACATTTTTCAGGAGTTGAATGAATTGAGAGAGACTGAAGGAGGGACAGTTCTGACAGCAACCACCTCAGAGCTGGACGGCATCAACAAACGCGTCAAAGACACACTAGCTCGATCAGACGGTATGTTGCAGAGTCAAGACATTATTAGATAGTACATATGTCATGAAAATACAATAACTTTAGATATGCTGATCACCCATCATGCTCACATGAACCATGACCATGTCAGACTTGGCAGTTGTGCACACTTCTGGGGTGTGATGGATCTTGTGGGACTCAGGCCAAGATCTTCAGCTCTTGGTTACATAGGGGATCTACATATGGGTATAGACGTAGGACTTAATACAAAATAATAGAAAAATTATCTTTTTGAAAAAGAGAAAAAAGCCTTGTCCGTCAAGCTTTGTCAGTGAGATGTGATCGACAGCCAGACGCAGAGTCTCCATTTATGATTGATTAAATAGTTAATATTCAAATCACCTTGAATATTAACTATCATATCCTGATTGGAGCATCTCTAAATAATTGCAAAATTTTTGTTACCACAGAGCTGGACACAATGATTGACAAGACAGAGCTTGAAATCAAGGACCACATAAAAAGCATGGAACGCTGGAAGAATATTGAGAAAGACCAGAATGACGCCATCAACCACGACACTAAAGAGCTGGAGAAGATGACGAACCGACAGGGCATGCTGCTCAAGAAGAAGGAGGAGTGCATGAAGAAGATCAGGGAGCTGGGCTCGCTGCCTCAAGAGGCCTTCGAGAAGTACCAGACCCTCACAATCAAACAGGTGGGCAGACAGCCCCTCCTCTGTGGAGGATCTTAGGCCCTATTCTCAGTGACCACTCGGGCATGTTTGAGGGCAGACTTTGGAAAGCACAATCAAAGGTGCTGCTCTTTTGGGGAGTTCCAGGTCGACAGGGGTTACTTTCTATCAAAACGGATCCAGAGAGCAACATTATGCAACCACTTTAGCCTCGTAACATTAAGTTGTATCGTCTTCCAACCTTTCGCTTTACTTGTGTAACCTGACCTTTTAGGTAAAGAAATGTCATAACACCAGCCCAAATGCTAACTGCCTAATAAGACTAAAGGTCATGAAATGGGATAATCGGACCTCTGTGCCTGTGCTTCGACACAAAGACAGCACAGATTCTTGATTTGAAACACTACTGCTCTACCACCTACTCTCCAGCAGTGACTCATCCTCTTGTGTGCATCCAGTGAAACTCCTCTGCTCTCCAACATACTTACTTGATTGAACATGTTATCCGTAGCTGACTGAGAAAGCTATTTGCGGTATTCTAAAGTGTGCAGACAGACATCCAATAGTTATTATACTTGCATAATCCCTCTCTCTCTGAGGCGAAATGGTGCCACTGATTACTCAAGTGGGTGGGTCGGATAAATCAGTATTTCCTAATGTTTTTTGAGTTGTGACACATCTTTTTATCACAAAAAAATCACAAGGCACTCTGCCAGCTGAAGCTGAAGCTGAAGCGGTTTACCAGGTTTCCTCACAATCCCCTTTTCTTCATTCTGTCATCAAGTCTACATCATGTGGATTTGTCGCGTTTGTCCCCTGCATCCAATAAATAAAAGATGAGATAAGATACTCCTTTTATTGTTTCCCATTGGAGAAATGTGTCCAGGGCTTCACAAGTCCTCCGTTTGTATTTTTATTGACCTCTGGCATAAAAACCTATTACAATGTTGTTTATCCCAATTGATCTTCTGTTTCTTTAAAGGAAGTATTCTTGTGTTATACAAAATCAAAGATGGCGGCCGCTGCTTGTTGATGCGATTGTTAATACAGATTATAGTGTTATTGCAACTAATAAAAAAGGTTATTCTTTAGCCCTGCCCCTCAGTAAAACAGTAATAAATCTTTACTTAGTTTGGAGAACATGCTGAACCTGTGTAATGTTAATCTTCCGTTTGTTATATAATACAATTGATATATGCTGACCTAATTTTGTTTGATGTTTTGAGGAAAGAACGAGTGGATTATAATTTCCATTTCAGTTTTGTTGCAACCATTTTACGATTTGATATAGTACTATTTGAAATGTAACGCTGTAATAATTCTTTCCAGCTTTTCCGTAAATTGGAGCAATGCAACACTGAGCTAAAGAAATACAGTCACGTCAACAAAAAAGCTTTGGACCAGTTTGTGAACTTCTCCGAGCAAAAGGAAAAGTTAATCAAACGTCAAGACGAGCTCGACCGCGGCTACAAATCCATCATGGAGCTCATGAACGTCCTGGAGCTGCGAAAGTACGAGGCCATCCAGCTGACGTTTAAGCAGGTCAGACTTTGCACCTCACTGTTGGGATAATGTATCAAACCACATTTGCATTCATTCTTATATTGGCTTTTCAGGTGTCCAAAAACTTCAGCGAGGTCTTTCAGAAGCTGGTGCCTGGAGGTAAAGCCACTCTGGTGATGAAGAAGGGTGACGCAGAAGGCGGACAGTCCCAGGACGAGGAGGGCCAGGACAGTGAGAGGGGGTCCGGCTCCCAAAGCAGTGTCCCGTCGGTGGATCAGTTCACAGGAGTTGGCATCAGGGTAAAATCTGCTTTATTGTAAAGGCTCTGGTGTGTGCCATCTGGTGCACGCTGGGGTAGTCTTGCACAGTTATTCCAATGTGGTTTTACTGCAAATGGTAAATACATTCTTGTATCATGTATCTGAGATAAGATAAGAAACTTTATTGATCTCCCATTGGAGAAATGTACATGTTACATTTGGTATGGATGGAATCACTCACATTGTGCAAAAAGACAGCAGTGTGCAAACAGGTTCAGGTTAATAATATAGTCTGTGCAGGATATATTTATGTACAATAAAGTGGCAATAGCAGTGCTGGTTCCTCTGAGGTCAAAGTTGTGAATCTTCTCTTCTCTTGTGCAGGTGTCGTTCACTGGGAAACAGGGCGAGATGAGAGAAATGCAGCAGCTTTCGGGAGGTCAGAAGTCTCTGGTGGCTCTCGCTCTGATTTTTGCCATTCAGAAATGTGACCCTGCTCCGTTCTACTTGTTTGATGAGATCGACCAGGCGCTTGACGCTCAGCACAGAAAGGCTGTATCCGGTAAAATCACATTGTTTTCTTTACAATTCTCCAGAAACTAGTAAGATGGCTTGTGTAAATATATTGTATCTTTGTCATTTCTTCACAGACATGATTGTTGAGCTGGCCGGCCATGCCCAGTTCATTACCACCACGTTCAGACCCGAGCTGCTGGAGTCGGCGGACAAGTTTTACGGAGTCAAATTCCGAAACAAGGTGAGAGTGATTCCAGAGCTTGTTCCCTGTATTTACTCTTAGCTTTAGTATAAGAGCCTGTTCAGTGATGAGGTAAATGTGTCTAAAGCTGTACATACGTTGCAGGTGAGTCACATCGACGTGATCACAGCAGAGCAGGCTAAAGACTTTGTGGAGGACGACACCACCCACGGTTAAGCACCTCTGACTCACACTGGCCCCAGAGCACTCGGAACACACTATCCATTCTAAAGCATTGTCAGCCGTTTATACCTGACGTTCCTCACCACTTTTGCTTTAATCGGTGTAAATTAGTGATGCAGACTTTGCATGAAAAGACTTTAGCACTAATTTTGCTTCATTAAAGTACATTTAAGTACAAGTACTTTTAACTTAATGCTGAAGTGGGCAAGAGAGTGATGAGTTATTGGGGGAGTTTGCTATCGCTAAATATTGTGTGTACAGTTTTCATTACTTTTTTAAGTTGATGCTTTTACACATTTTATGTCCTGAAGATGTGTTTTGTAATGCGTGCTCTGAGCTGAGTAAAATGGTGAATTGCCCTTTCTGACCATAATTCTGTTAAACTATATGGTTGCAGTTAATGTACACATGATTTTTAACATTCTTATCAATTTGTCATTCCAAAACAAGATGTTCATTACTGTAATTTTGTAGAGTTGGAAGAGATACAATTATTAACCAGAAACAATACACCAATTATTTAAACTGTTGGAATGTTACTCATGTGCTCAGTATATTGGAAATGACCCCTGTATGTTGTAGTTTCAAGTTTGCACCATTTTTCATGTTCTCTTGTTTTTTTTATATGAAAATAAATATTTACAAATAAACTTCCCTCTAACTTTGTTTTGTCATACACATGGACACCAGGGGGCGCCACATCACAAGTACATGCTGCGCTCAGTATCTAGTTCATGGATCTATCATAACGACATCGTTACAATCATTAGGGCCTTATGGTCTTACCGTTTGCTTTATGATATATCTGACTAATTTGATTAATTGTTTGCCAATATATCAATTAAAATCATCCATCTTATGGAAATGTGGAACATTAATTTATACAATATATAGCTATGGAATGGGGAGAGGAGAGCAGGACCTGTTGGTTCTAAAGAAGCCCCCTTTATTCGTCTCACAGTCCGAAAATTTCAAACTAAAATGCAAGTCATCACCACTTTTAATAAGTCTTACTTTTAGTTCAATGTTTGGGAAACATTTTATATAATTGTATACAGTGCCTTGCGGAAGTATTCGGCCCCCTTGAACCTTTCAACATTTAGCCACATTTCAGGCTTAAAACATAAAGATATAAAAATTAAAATTTCTGTCAAGAATCAACAACAAGTGGGACACAATCGTGAAGTGGAACGAAATGTATTGGATAATTTAAACTTTTTTAACAAATAAAAAACTGAAAAGTGGGGCGTGCAATATTATTCGGCCCCCTTGCGCTAACACTTTGTAGCGCCACCTTTTTCTGCAATTACAGCTGCAAGTCGTTTGGGGTATGTCTCTATCAGTTTTGCACATCGAGAGACTGGACTTCTTGCTCATTCTTCCTTGCAAAACAGCTCGAGCTCAGTGAGGTTGGATGGAGAGCGTTTGTGAACAGTAGTCTTCAGCTCTTTCCACAGATTCTCAATTGGATTCAGGTCTGGACTTTGACTTGGCCATTCTAACACCTGGATACGTCTATTTGTGAACCATTCCACTGTAGATTTGGCTTTATGTTTTGGATCATTGTCCTGTTGGAAGATAAATGTCCGTCCCAGTCTCAGGTCTTTTGCAGACTCCAACAGGTTTTCTTCCAGAATGGTCCTGTATTTGGCTCCATCCATCTTCCCATCAATTTTAGCCATCTTCCCTGTCCCTGCTGAAGAAAAGCAGGCCCAAACCATGATGCTGCCACCACCATGTTTGACAGTGGGGATGGTGTGTTCAGGGTGATGAACTGTGTTGCTTTTACGCCAAACATATCGTTTTGCATTGTGGCCAAAAAGTTTGATTTTGGTTTCATCTGACCAGAGCACCTTCTTCCACATGTTTGGTGTGTCTCCCAGGTGGCTTGTGGCAAACTTTAAACAAGACTTTTTATGGATATCTTTGAGAAATGGCTTTCTTCTTGCCACTCTTCCATAAAGGCCAGATTTGTGCAGTGCACGACTGATTGTTGTCCTATGGACAGACTCTCCCACCTCAGCTGTAGTTATCTGCAGTTCATCCAGAGTGATCATGGGCCTCTTGGCTGCATCTCTGATCAGTCTTCTCCTTGTTTGAGATGAAAGTTTGGAGGGACGGCCGGGTCTTGGTAGATTTGCAGTGGTCTGATATTCCTTCCATTTCAATATAATTGCTTGCACAGTGCTCCTTGAGATGTTTAAAGCTTGGGGAATCTTTTTGTATCCAAATCTAGTTTTAAACTTCTCCACAACAGTATCTCGGACCTGACTGGTGTGTTCCTTTGTCTTCATGGTTCTCTCTGCGCTTTAAACAGAACCCTGAGACTATCAAAGAGCAGGTGCATTTATACGGAGACTTGATTACACACAGATGCATTCTATTTATCATCATCAGTCATTTAGGACAACATTGGATCATTCAAAGATCCTCACTGAACTTCTGGAGTGAGTTTGCTGCACTGAAAGTAAAGGGGCCGAATAATATTGCACGCCCCACTTTTCAGTTTTTTATTTGTTAAAAAAGTTCAAATTATCCAATACATTTTGTTCCACTTCACGATTGTGTCCCACTTGTTGTTGATTCATGACAAAAAAATTAAATATTATATCTTTATGTTTGAAGCCTGAAATGTGGCAAAATGTTGAAAGGTTCAAGGGGGTCAAATACTTTCGCAAGGCACTGTATGTATGTATGTATATATATATATATATATAATATATATATATATATATATATATATATATATATATATATATATATATATATATATATATATATATATATATATATATATATATATATATTATATATATATATATATATATATATATATATATATATATATATATATAATATATATATATATATATATATATATATATTATATATATATATTAATCAGGAAAGCAAAGGAGTCTGCTTTCAGGGAGGGGGACCGCAGCGGCTACAAAGCAGCTAAATATCAGTTCAGGAAAGAACTGAAAGCAGCCAAGTCCCGGCACAGAGAACGACTACAGGAGCAGTTTGGTAACAACGATACTGCTTCTGTCTGGAGGGGCCTACGGGAGATCACCAACTACAAACCCAAAGCCCCCCCCTGTGCTGATGACCACATGCTAGCTGACGATCTGAACTTATTTTTCAGTCGCTTTGATGCTGCCCCTGACACCTCTCCCTCCCCCACCCCCCACTACTCTAACGACCCACCCATCAGCCCTGCCCCCAGCCTAACAATAGCCGCTAAAGAGATTAAACAACTCTTCCTGAGGCTGCACCCCCGCAAAGCTCCTGGCCCGGACCACGTGTCTCCGGCCACTCTGAGACACTGCGCCAGTGAGCTTACTCCTGTGTTCACGGACATTTTCAACTCCTCTCTGCAGTCCTGCCATGTCCCGGCCTGCTTCAAATCCTCCATCATTGTCCCCGTCCCGAAGAAGCCCAGGATCACAGGACTCAATGACTACAGACCTGTAGCACTTACGTCTGTCGTCATGAAGTCATTTGAACGCCTGGTTCTCTCCCATCTCAAGTCCCTCACCTCCCCCCTCCTGGACCCCCTGCAGTTCGCCTACAGAGCCAACAGATCTGTAGACGACGCCATTAACCTGGCCCTCCACCACATCCTACAGCACCTGGACTCCCCGGGGACCTACGCCAGGGTCCTGTTCGTGGACTTCAGCTCTGCCTTCAACACAATCCTGCCATCCCTGCTCCAGGACAAGCTCTCCCAGCTCAACGTGCCCGATTCCACCTGCAGGTGGATCACTGACTTCCTGACGGACAGGAAGCAGCGAGTGCGTCTGGGGAAGAATGTCTCGGACTCTCGGATTATAAATACAGGAGCCCCACAGGGCTGTGTTCTTTCTCCCCTGCTCTTCTCCCTGTACACCAACCACTGCACCTCCAGCCACGACTCCGTGAAGCTGATCAAGTTCGCGGACGACACCACCCTCATTGGACTCATCTCCAACAACGATGAGTCCGCCTACAGGAGGGAGGTGGACCGGCTGGTGTCCTGGTGCAGTGGTAACAACCTGGAGCTGAACGCCCAGAAGACAGTGGAGATGATTGTGGACTTCAGGAAGAGCACTGTCCCCCCGCCCCCACCCTCCGTGATGGACTCCCCCATCACCTCTGTGGAGTCCTTCCGTTTCCTGGGCACCACCATCACCCAGGACCTCAAGTGGGAGCCGACCATCAGCTCCCTCATCAAGAAGGCCCAGCAGAGGATGTACTTCCTGCGGCAGCTCAGGAAAGCCAAGCTGCCTGCACAGATGTTGGTGCAGTTCTACACGGCCATCATCGAGTCCATCCTCACCTCCTCCATCACCGTGTGGTTCGCTGGAGCCACAGTCAGGGACAAACAGAGACTACAGCGCATTGTGCGCTCTGCAGAGGAAGTGATCGGCCGCAGCCTTCCATCGCTGCAGGACCTGTACGTCGCCCGAGCTCGAGGCCGGGCTGGTCGTATCACAGCCGACCCCTCTCACCCTGCACATGGACTATTCCAACCACTCCCCTCAGGCAGGAGGCTGCGGTCCATCAGGACTAGAACCTCCCGCCACAAGAACAGTTTCTTCCCCTCTGCTGTTGGACTCTTGAACACTTCTTAACCTGTCCCCCGCCCTTTATAAAGTCACTTTACTGCCCATCATACGTCACTTTACTTCACTGTACTGCTGTCACCTTACATTGTGTGCACCATGTGCACTTGTATATTGTAAATAGTAACTGTAACTCTATTTTAAATTTAAATTTATTCTTTAGAAGTGTTTTTTATTCTTATTTTTATTATCTCTTTTTGACTGTTGCACTGAGCCAAAGCAATTTCCAAGTCTGTGACCTCCCGTTACTTACGTTGGCAATAAAAATGATTCTGATTCTGATTCTGATTCTGATATATATATATATATATTATATATTTATAATATATATATATAATATATATAATATATATAATATATATATATTATATATATATCAAATCAATC